ACAATGTCAACTTTAATAGCAAAGGAGAAAAGGGAATTATTATGAAAATGGAAATTAAGACTATATTTAATAATAATTAAAAAAAAGCTAAACGTTTAATTGAAGACAAGAAGAATTAAATTGAAAAATAATTATGAAACAAATATAAAAATAAATAATTAAATTACTTAAATTTTTACTAAAATAAAATTATATTCGAATTTTTAAGAAAATTAAGTTTTCTATTTTCTATATTTAATTTCTAGAAAATCTTTTACATTTAAAAAATAATCTACATTTAATCTTAAAAAGATCTTGAAACTTCAAAATTTTACGTTATTTGTTTGTAATCTTAATTAATAATCTTAATTAATGATTAAATTTATCTTTTATAAAACAAAATTAAAAAATGGACCTACCTTGTTCTTTTAAAAAAAATTTCGATGAGGTGAAACGTAAGCTTAAAATAATTAACGACAATAAAATGTTTTACCTTGCTCGACTATAAAACAGGGTCAACAATTGCTCCAATTACGCAATGATGCAGAATAATTATTTTATTGCCACAGGTGTAATTATCGGTTTATTTCGTATTCGTAGCGTCATCTCGCTTTGGGGCGCTTTAATGGCACCTATGAACTTTCTTTAAGAATAGACAAGTAGAAGATTTATTAAATTCCATTGATCGCGATAAAACAATTAAGATAAATAATTGCATAAATTAAGACATCGTTACATCTCTTTCCTATTAAATTTTATTTTACTGTAATATATCTAATAATAGCCAATTGTTTATACAGAATACTTGTTATCTTTCGTTCGAGTTTCAAGAATTGCGTGTTTCAATCGTTACAATCACTCATGTTTCTGATATGGAATTTTGTTTTTTTTTTACATTTGCGTCATTTGCGATAAAGTAAAAGACGCACAAGCAATGGTTTAATTAGAAAACTCAGCGTTAAATTTGCGTCTCGTTCTCGATGCGCGCTGTTTTACGTCGCAGTTCTACGTTATTACGCCTTCGCATGTTATCAGTCGTATCAAAGTAACTGTATTTCTTGGAACCTATTGGATACATATGACGCTCTTTGATAAATACACGAGATGAAAGTTCAACAGAAGAATGCGGGGTAAATGCGTAAATGAAATGCAAAGTTTTGTAATTCTGAGAAACACTTGTCATGAAAGCGATTTCATTAATTATGTACTGGCGGACTATTCAGGATTATCATCCCCAATTAATTAAGCCTAATGGAGTTATATTAATTCAAATGTGCGATGTGTCTCGATAAAATCTCGAGGAAAAGTCTGTGCATTTCTTGCGATAGTACGTCGCACGCAAATTTTTTTAACGTCGTGTATATCAGGACGCGTAATTTAATATTATAAGAGAATATAATAGTCTAAGAACTTTTTTAAAACTAGTCGTAAAAATTTTGTTGTGTTTTTTTTTTCTTTTAAATTGATAATCTTTGAAAGTATGTTTTTTTTTCAAATATCTCTTATATAGAGCTTGTTAGGCACAAGAAATCTTCAAGAAAGATATGAAATTATACAGGTTTAAAAATCATGTCAACACACTTATTGTTGGATAAGTAATTTTCTACGTCGTTTAAAGTGCAAACTTTATTTCATTATAGTTCGCAACTTATATATTATGCATCACTTGCACGTGCCTTTATGCGTACGATCTATACAACGTATACGTTTAACATTCGGATTATCCAACCTTGATCCAAATGACGTTACATGAACGTTTATATCTATAGAATCCAAGTCACTAGATTGGTGTCGTCCTTATTAGCAGAGGTATAATAGCATTGATTCTCGGCGATGTTTCTCGAGAAAGGTATGATATCCGCAGTATTGAAAGCGGTAACATGATTATTTATTAAAGCTAAAGATTCCAAGTGTTCGAAGAAAATGGAATATATCTAACTTCCGACATGATTAGCGAAAATATAAACTTAAATTTAAATTCGTAATATTTTTAAAAAACATCCATATAATATTCATGCAAACATCTATATAATATTTATAATTAAACTAATTTCAAGATAATTCTTTCTTTCAAATTCTTTCTTTAAAAAATTTAAAGAAAGAAATATTTATCTACATTTATATTTTAAAACAATGAACAATTTTTTTAAAGAAATAATACAAAAATGTAAAATAAAATTCTTTCTTTCGTTTTTGAGAAAAATTTAAAAAACAGGAAAATAAATAGTGTTTGAATGATTTTTAATAATTTTATATCATACTGTACATCATTGAGAATTCTATTAACAGCAATTATTTAACACATATAAAAAACATGACATTCTGTTTACAATAGACTTATTCAACAAAATTGAATGGTTTCATTTTAGATACGACTCGAAAACATATTATGTGGTGCGACATTGCTTTTCTCCTTTCATATTTTCTGTCTTTTATTTTGCAATGGTACAATGGATGCAATTTAGAAAATGCATAGTACATGTCGAAACTTCGCTACACACCTATAAATTGTAGACAATATTGAAACCGACCAAGAGTTACCGCGGATCAAAGTTGCTATCGGATCGATCGGAACAATTTATTTCCCTAAGGCTATGTAACTTCAGTTGAAAAAACAATTGAGGTAAACAGATGCATAACAATGTTTTTACGTAATTATTATATCTATTTAAAGGAATATATACATATCTAAATTATTTATGAATATTACAATGAGAAGTTCAATGATTTTATTGAGTCTGAAAAGTTTATACTATCTAAATATCAATAGATGGAAATTCTGTTAAAAGTTATATAAAAAAAGTCATTAATTTAAATTGATACATGTTATTAATAATTTTTTTCTAATTTTGTATGTGCATTAGAAATATATCATTCTCGAAATAACTAGTGTGTTTACGATATATATTTATGTACACATTGGAAGCATTTAACAAATTTTATTAAATATAATGTCAAAGGTAATTGAGAATTAGTATCTATATTATAATAGAGTTTATTTTTAAAAATAACCTTCACATATATTAAAACCGTAATATTAAAGCTTGAATATTTAAAAAAATTAAATTATATCTTCTTTCACATTTAAATCTTAATTATTACAAGTCGTTATTCTTTAAATAATAACTTGTAATTTAGTTATTTGTTACTTGTTATTTATTTTAATAATTTAATATACAATTTATTTATTTACCGTTACCGTTACCTTATTAAGTCGTAAAGTGTGCTTTTATTTATTTATTAAGAGAGAGAGAGAAATAGAGATAAAGTCACCTATAAATGATAACATTGGATGAAGTTTCATCTCTCACAACGAAGTGCAAAATTTATATCAACGCTTTTTCATTGCGAACTGATATAGGAACTGATATAGGAAATTGATATAGGAACGAGTTTTAATTTCGAACCACCGAGGAATCCTTGCAGTGATGATGCATTCGCTGTTTCATACCGAACAGATTTTTGGTTTGATTTGGTAGAAAAGCGCATTGACGTCAGCATTCGGAATGAAACTAATTCGGCTTTTGCTATATATACGTCCAATATCTATTATCTTGTTTCATTTAGTTATACATTTTTTTCTTAGCAATTGTAGATAGCTCACTGAAGCTCTAGATTGTACTTTTAGTTTTAATTTGTCCTCGGGATTTTTCAAAATCCAAAAATACGTCGAGTATGAGATAGGACATGTTATTGTATAATCATTTAAACATTTTGTAGTTGTTAGCAGTAAATAAAAATTATAAAATAATTTAGAAAACCTCTTTCTCTTTTTCTTCTCTCACTTACTTTTTTATTTAAAGAAAATAATAATATTAATTATTTTTTTTAACAAAACTAAGAGATTACTGTATGTTGAAACTAAAAACTGTTAAAACGAAAAAAAATGTAATGAAACTAAATACAACTTTAACATTAAAAAAAGTAACTAAAATTCAGTCTCCCGTTAAAGTTTCGCGACCTTGTATTTCGTGCAACGCGTTTGCTGCACATATAGGTACATTTTCCGCACACACATTTGTGAACGAGTTCGCAAATGCAAAAAAAACGCGAAACTTTCCCGATGGCTTTGTCGGATCCTGACAAACGTGTTTGGATAAAGTTACGAAAAGTTCGCGATGTGAAAGACGATGGTTGGACAGGTGGCTCCGTACAGTGAGATCTCCTTATACTTGGCGCGCAAGCGTCAAATCAGTAGGGACGAGTGTTTTATGGGCGCATATGTTTGATATGTGTATATAAGACATACTCAATCTCTTTATTTTGAGATGATTTCAAGTATTGGAATCATGAAAGCGACATAATCTTTGAGATTTCAATTCTTATTCCTGTACCTTCATGTGTTATGGTTGTTAAGCTATTTTATGCGAATCTAATTTAGTGAAGGCGTTCAGCTTAAATTAAATGTATATATTAATGCAATTATAGGAAAATCAATGCCGAATTGTATCCGAATATTTAAAGATTCTTTAAAGATATTTTAAATAATGTGAGTCAGACATATAAAAATATAATAAATTAGCGGAAGAAGAGGATAAACAAATATGTTACATTATTATATATATATTTTGTGTGAAACTTTATGTTTAAAATATAAAAAAATATTATTTAATAATTGTTTAAAATATAATAAAATATGCTTTATTTATTAAATATACTTGCTCGCAAGCATCAAATTAGATGTGAATATTTGAGCTATTTAAATATAATAGTTTGTCAAATACAGAGTTAAATGAAGTTTCATTCTTTTTATTATTCACACGTTTTTAATTTGCATTTTGCATGAATTATTAGTCGTGGAAGCGCCTGTTTCAATTTTAAACGTTCTAATATTTTGTTGATATG